AAAAAGTCAAGCTTGGGATTTGGTGAGAAATGTGGCAAATGGAAGATGGGTAGAAAGGAGCAATTGGGAGGCATAGGGAGATGCAAAATTAAGGATTTTTAATGGTATATATAGTTGTTTAGTCATAATTTTGTTAAAATATAAAGATAAAATAGATATAATGAGCAATTTTCATTTATAGGAAGCCAAAGGCACACGCAAAAGTAAGGATTTCTTGCTTTTGGAATTTTCAAAAGGTGAAAGCTAGCTTGAGATTCTCATTAGCTGAAGTCAATTTCAAAAGCAAGGTTGTTTGGTGCAAGTGGAGCTTTTGCATTTCAAAAGCACTTTCCATCAGTTGCATCAAACATGCACTTATTATTCATAGCAGGCATGGGGTATCATATTAGACATGTGGAAGAGAAAATTGATTGAAGTAATTGTTTCTTTCCTTTGGAAGTGGGGTGTGATTATGACTATTAATGGAATTGTGAGGTTAGTAAATTATGTTAAAAAAATATTGATTTTATTTGATTTGATTATTAAAAATAATTAATAATTGATAGACTAATTGATTTTTATTACTTAATAAATTAAAATCAATTTATAAACTAATATTTTAGATATCATAACTACTTATTTAAAAATATATATATTATTCAAATTAAATATAAATTTAGTGTCCTTAATAATCGTATTGATGGCCATAACCATACTCATAACCATACCCTGGGAAGTGCAGAGGATTCATCCTTTTTAAACAGCAGCATCACTAAACGACTAGAAGTTAGCACTTAATTACTATTATAGGAATTTAAGTCCTGATTGACAATAATATTGAAGAAAGATTTGAAGTTTGATATCTACTCTTTGTAGTTTGTTGAAGAAGTTAGCAAATCTAGTTTTGATTTAGCAATTTCCCAAGTACGTAAAAGAACAAGAGCATACAAGAGTATTCTTCTTTTCAACTGGAATTTAATGCCCAATTAAAAAAAGACTTGGATGATGAAATTACAATAGAGTAGAAGTTGGGGGTGGTGCTGTCAGCGAACACAGACTCAGACTCCTCAGCAACCAGACAAAAACACATGCCTTTTTTTATTACACAAACATAGGTTTTGCGTTGGCCAACTAGGGATTGGACAACATACAGCCTGCTTTCCCCATTGAAGATCAAAATTTTTCCAGCCAATTCAATTCCTTCTACCATTAATACTTTGTCTTTCTTCCAACAGGTATCTATCTTCTACTAAGTCTCACTTTCTTGCTTCCCAACCAAGGTCAGTGATCATTGACTGCTGCAGAATGATAAAAATCCCATAAACTCATGGTTGTGCATCATCTCTATGCTTTTCTCAATGCCAATGACCCCTATTTGAGAAAAAAAGAAAAAAAATGGAGAACCAATGAGGCCCAATTGAATAGAGGAAGTTTAAAAACAACCCATTTGGTTTAGAGGGTGTGGTTTCTCAGTCTGGATTGGCAAAAAATGTCCATTTGGAAAACAAAGCTCTTATATGTGGTATCACAGTCACATATTAAATTAGCATTTTTTTTTCCAAATCAGACTGAAATAAACATTTCTTTTGTTTATAATAATGGAAAAGCAGAATCAAGGAATTTTAGGTTCTTCATACCCATTATGAGAGCACTTGCAAAGATGACACCAGAGAGGATGAATATAATGAGTGAAGCTCTTCCTAGAATTGTGATTAGTTTTCTTACGAAAAACTGTCCCCAGAAGCCAGCCAAAACAGATACTGCCATCAAGTACAAAGCTGCCCAGGGAAAACAATGAGAACACTTAATTTGGATGATTCAATGACGCTATTGAGTGGAACTCAAGGTCTGAGAATTACCATAGGGAATAGGGAATCTCTTCAGCAAGTAAAACTCCACTACAGATAAAGACGAAGAGAACATCATCACAAATGTAGCTGTTGCACTTGCAACCTGAAAATGGAAACACAGAGTGATCTGCCTAACACTTTTAACGCATTGATGCTGATATATGCATTCATGTGGTAACATTTCTCCAATAGGATGTGCGGGGAAAACATGTGGAAGTTGGAAGTTGAAAATTGTACCTGGGGGATGACACCAATCTCCAGGAGGAGTGGCCCTAGAATGAACCCACCGCCAGAACCCAGTAGGCCTCCAACAGTGCCCCCTAAGATGCCACAGAGAGCACAAAATGCAAGGTTTGTTGCAGTCCATTGAATTGAAGCCTCACAAATTGCTTGAGTGCTTCCTGTGCTCATTCTCTTCTTGTGTTCCATGTTCAGTTTGACAGCCTCATAGCCAAAAACTGCTAATGCAATGGGGACCTAAAACATTGACATTCAAACAATGTACAAACTCAGCCCAGAAAACATTCAGCGTCAGCAGAAACCTCTAATTGATAACATATGATATATGATGGGCTTATTTTATACCTGTAAGCTGAAGAGTATCCAGTACCATGTACTACAAACAGCTACATCATTCTGCATAATTATAATCATGAATCGTTATAAAGTCTAAACATATACTCATCTGACCGATTGAGATAGAGATATAGAACTTGCCTTGATGATTTGAACAACTAGGAAAGCAATCCAAACTAGCATTAGAACCAAAATCATTTTCCATCGAAAGTTGAAACGTAATATTTGCTGCAAGAAAAGGGAAGTGGATTCAATTCCTAACTCAATCTCAGCGGAAGAAATTATAAAGATGTAAAATGTAGATTAATTACTCACTAATTCTGATTTCTTTTCTCTTGGTACCAATGGATCATACTCTGAATCTATCAGGGCTGAGAAAATTAATACAAAAGTGTCAATTTCTTCACACTGACACACTCTAAAGTAAAAGTTAAGTATATATGCAAGTTTTGTATGTATGTGTCTTACGTTCACCCTGGGAATTTACCATAGCTTCCTGTTGTTTGGCCATTTCTTTCTGTAATTTTTCCAATTAAACAAAGAATCAGTATAATCCAACATTCTCTTCTAATACATCAATTTAACATTCAGTCATGTAATAATAGTCAATAGGGTACCTTTAGAATCGACTCTGCCTTCCACATCTCAATTCCCTTAAAGAAAGATCTTGATGAGGTCCCTGGTTGTAACAAAATAAAAGTAACAAACAGAGAAATACCTGTTAGATGGGATATTGGGTAGTGAGTTTCAAAAAAATACTATGGAAAAACATGGTGAATTATTAAAAAGACCTAAGAAGAGAATGATGATGAGAATGGTGATGAGCCAGTAGGGGAAGACTACACTCAGGGAAACACCAATTGTGATGCCAAGCATGAGCATTGGCTGGAACAAAAGAGCCAAGTCATAGTCAAGAATGGGGACTTCCTTTGTTGGGTGAGGAACTCTCAGATTGTACCAGACTGATGATGATGATGCTCCCATTATCATACCTGCATCCACTCCATGAAAATCTGTTAATCAACAACTTCAATTCCCAATCAACCAGGTACTTTCTTCAATAATTTTTCTTTATCTTCATATCAAAGAACTGTAATACTAGTGGAATGAGATACAGATTGAATTGAGGAAGATACATTTAGAGAGAGCAGCAGCAGACTTGGTATCAAACCCAACAATCAAAGTAAGCATGGGGACAAAAATGCCTCCGCCGCCTACCCCTCCCACCGTCCCACACGCTGATCCGAGAAATCCTATCACCGTTGCCAACAACAATCTCCAGCTAAACTCCAATTCCTGCACAGAGGCATCAACCAAAGTAACACCAGTTTCAGTCTATTATAAACACAAACACCTGGAAACTATGCAAGAAACATGAAAACAAAAAAGAGGTTGAAAATAAACGTACAGGCCAAACTTTTTCACTGCTCGATTCATATGGGGTGTAGAAGAGGGATGAGTTCTTCCGGTAACCATTCGTATCATTCCGGTCGGTAAAGAGCAAAGCAGATAGAACGGAAGCCGAGAAACAACAAAGCAAATAAACAACAAAACCCCTTGTAGCCATGGCGAGACAAAAAAAGTTGTTGGTTTTGACGAAAACAACGAGAACAGCAACTACCGTCACGTTTTTTTCCTGAAATGCACAAATACGTTACTCTGCCTCAGAAAGAGAGAAAGGTGAGACGATGCCAATATACAATTCAAGAATCAGCAATAATTATTTCTTTCCTAAATGGGAATGAAATCTAGAGTTGACTGACGAAAAATAGGTCGTACTCTGCAAATAAAGAGTTTTGTACCTAAATTATATGCAAGTAATTTGCACTTACCAAAAAAAATTTAAGCTATATGTTTTTTCCATTTTTTCTTTGATAAACTATAAAACTAAGTTATAAATGTTTGGTTTAGCTATTTTGAATAAAAGGGGTCATTATTTGTGCTGACCGCCTTTCTGCCATGGTTCACTAGTCCCTTTATGTTGATTTTGTATGTTATGATGTTTGGTTCGTTGAGCTTGTTTTATATCTTAATGCAGATATGATGGTGATTGAATTTTTCAAGAATTGGTGTATTTTGCCTTTATTTTATAATTTAATTCCCTTTTTCACCAAAAATAAATAAATAAATGGGGTCATGCACATGATATCTTTCTAATGTGTGCGAATCCATTTAATGAGTTTTTTTTTTTTTTTTGAACTGAAGTTAAACCATTTAATGAGTTGTTGAAATGGTATCTTTTCTTAAAAAGATATTTTAATTAAAGACTCCTTATTTATTTTTATATGACTAATTTACTGCATCAATTTAGGTTACAGATGTTCAAATTCTATTCTTTATAGTACTTCCCTTTTTTTTAGGTCACAATATAAAGATAATTTTTATGTATAATATGTTTTTTTGAATAATGAATGAATTCATACAATATTATAATTTCGATTGGATAAAAGACTAAATCATTAAATGAAACTTAAAATTCTAAAACAATTATTAAAAAAATTGTTTTTGATTTTATTATTATTATTATTATTATTATTTTACTTATCAGAGCATCCTTATGAAAGTAAGAGCATGTGTTTCAGTTAACTTGTAAGAGTTTTTATTTTTTTTGTATTATTTATGAGTGATAAATTTAAATTTTTATTGGAAAGAAAATTTAAAAGTTGTTTTTAAATATAGGAAAAAATAAATAAAAGGTGAGTAAAAAAAGAATTTATGAAAAGTTTAAATTTGAAATTTTTGAATTTTTACTGTTTAAGATCTTTTTAAAATTAAATTTTTTTTTCAAATGAAAGCTTTTAAGAAAAAAATTTAAATTTATAAAATATAAATAGTATAAAAAAATTGAAGCATTTAAAAGTTGAACAAAACATGCCCTAAGTCAACAATTTAACCTTTTTTTTTATACTTCATGTGACTTTTGGATTATTATTATTCGAAAAGAGCATCAGGGATATTCTTTTTAGCCTTTCTTTTAAATACTCATTATATTATTAGGTCACATAGAATAAAAATTTAATGTGAACGGTGATTGGTGATTGGTAATTAATATTAAAATTAATATTTTTAAGGCCTTGTTTGGTATAACGGTTTTGGGATAGCGGTTAGCGATTTTACTTAAACCGCTAAATATAGGTGTTTGGTAAATTTATATATTTCGAAACCGCTACAACTAAAGTATTTGGTAAAATTTTTATTTAGCGGTTTGAGACTAGCGGATAGCGGTTAGGGTCCAAATCGCTAGCGGATTGAAAAAGTTAGTTTATGTAACTTTTTGTACCAAACCGCTAGCAGATTATAATTTTTTAATTTTATTGACAAATTTATCCATTTTAATTTTTTAATTTTTGTTCACATTTTTTAATTAATAATTATCTAATAAATTTCAGTTTTGTTTTTTTACCTTTAATAACA